TTCTTCCTTCATTACCATTGGTTGTAGATCATATGCCACTTCTTGAAATGGATGAAGATCGATCAGTTCTTTTTGGTACAGTGACTCTATATTCTTGCCATCTTCTCTTGATGTTTCCTGCATCATTCGATATTTTGCCCATAGAATCTCTCAATATTGCAACTCGAGGCTTAAATATTTTTTTCAGTTCTTTCAGTTTGAGAAATGCTGAGCGTGTTCTTCCTTTTTGGTTTTCAGACTTCAGGTCTTTGCACACAGAAGAAGCAATCAAGAAATCAGATTGTGTACTTCTCTGGGCAAGTGTACTGCAAAAGACCTCCTTAAAGGGTTGATGAACAAAGGTGTCACTTTGAAGATAAAAGTGCACCGAATGCAACCTAAACCAAATACGCCGTCATTAAGTCAATTCCGACTTGTGGTGAACCCCATTGGGTTTCTATGGTTGTAAGCCCTTCTGGAAGTGTACTGAGTCATCTTCCTCCATGGAGAAGCTGCTGGGGTTGATGTGCTAACCTTCTGACTACCAGGCAAACGCCTTACCCACTAGGCCTCCAGAGCTCGTTGTGCCTAATCCAGGCAGTGGTCTCTTCAATCGCCCCATATGCATGTGACAGGTGGAAAATAAAAAGGAAGACTAAGAAGAATGGATGCCTTTGAGTTGTGGTGTTGGGGACGAATACTGAGAATACCACGACTGCCAGAACAATTAGGTAACCTGTCCTGGAAGGAGTACAGCCAGAATGCTCCTTAGAATTGAGAATCGCCTTTGTCCGACCTATTTAGGCCATTTGGTCAGAAGGGACAGTCCCTGCAGAAGGATAGCATTCTTGGTATATTAAAGGGTCAACAAAAAAGGGGAAGGTCCTCAACAAGATGGATCGACACAGCAGCTGCAACACTAGAGTCAAGTACAGGAAGGTTTGTGAGATGGCGGAGGACAGGGCAGTGCTTTGTTCTGTTGAATACAGGGTCTCTAAGTGTGTGAATCAACTCAGCGGCACCTAACAACAAAACAACAATTTCAGTTAACGTAAGAGACCTACTGCAGATCATTTTGTTTCCATTTCAGCCATTCTAATAGGTGCACAGTGGGATCTCCCTCATTGTTATATTAGTTAGCAAACTATAACGACAAATGAGGTGGGCATTTTACAACATATTTGGTATGCATGTATCTCCTTAGGTGATGTATCTGCTTTTTTTTTTTTTT